CCTCTACAATCTGAAACTGGTTTGTTTAGTGCTGTACAGTGCCATATACTAAATGCAATGAAAATGAGCCTTTCTATAAATAAAAGAAATTACTGGCATAGTTTATTTGAAAGCATTGTTATTTGAGTGTTTGAACAAAACTTTTGACCAGATGTGGTTTCACATCATAGATAAGGAAGTAATCACACTACTTTATAGCATTCTGCACTGCAGTGTTGATAAGTATTGCATAATAAATAAAATAAAATAAAATAAAATAAATACCCAGCATGTCATGAGGAGCACCAGATAAATAAACCAGATATTAGAACAATTATGCTTTTAGTGTCTTTAAGTTTTATCAAGCATCTTCTTTCTTCTAGGCTTCAACAGTAGCTTGAATAAAACATGTTCCATTATGAACACACAACTTTATATACATTCAAACACATTGACGTTGGTGTTGTAAATTACGCTACGAAAACCTTGTAATTAACTACAAGTACATTAACTGTTATTTTACAGACTTAATTCTCTTTATAGTATACATATAATTTTACTACTACTAACATACAATTTCACTTACTACTCAATACTTAAATGTCAATAAAAGTGTCTTTGTTAAACTGTAGAGTTGGATTTTCAACATCAAAAGTCGACAGAGCAGAGATCAAGAACCATAATGCAATACACAACTGTAAATAAACGGAAAACACCAAATTACAAAAATTTTAACAGATATTTTTTAGATTGTAAATATAATTTATTATACAATTTATCAACATGTAGCTCTATATATGTTTCTGGAGATCGCAAACTATATGTAGCCAGAAGTATTTCATCTTTAAAAGAAGCGCTACGGGTTAATGGGACGCCATTTTTTTTCACGCTGTTACCAGTTTGTCCAGTAGCTCGCCATGTACGTCGGTGGACTTGAGATGCAGAGAGGAGCTGACCATGACAACAAGGTTCGAGTCTGGTAAAGAATGGTTCCAGAAGACAAAAACAAAAGCCAAAAAATAAAATAAACAAGTAAATAACAGGATGAGAATGTGGTAAAATCTGAAAACGTGGTATAAAATTAGGCAAGGGCTTTTGTTTTTCTGGATTGCTTTTTAAAACAGTCGGTTGCCTTTAGGGAAGTGGGTGGGCGGGTCAATCTGTGCTTTTGAAAACACTATTGGTTGGGTTTAGGTAAAGAGGAGGGTAGGTCAGTCGAACGGTCAGTCAGTCGACAGCGGCCTCTGGTGGATTTACGAATGACACTTGCGACAGAAATCTGAGATCTCAAAAAGCGTATACAGCGACCTCTGGTGGATTTGTGAAAACAAATTGCAAAAAAACTTAGCTGCTAGGATGTATTTGGCGCTCTCCAGAAATCTATATAGCTGTATATTTTCAAAATGAGCCTGGGTTGCGATATATTGTTTTAAGCTAAACTTAAATGTCAATAAATGTCACTTTATTAAAATACAAAGTTAAATTGGCAACATTAACAGTTAATTCTAACAATTAGTTCTAGTTTTATTTTTAACAATGTTTTGTTTTTCGGTGTGGTAATCGACATTTAATAGCAATTATTGGCTTCAGTCCTTTTGCAGAATTCGCAAATAACACACACCCAAAGTGTAACACCCACTCTGCTCCAAGCCATGACCACATTTCCACCTGAGGTGTGCATTACTTCATAATAATTCAATGGCCCGTTGTTAATTATTCCTTACATAGTTTTAAAGCCACATCGCCAATCACTAATGCCCACGCAGCCTCTTCCATATGACAGAGCAGTAATAAAAGGCTGAAGGAGAGGACATCAGGACAGAAGGGCACACCCCACTGCTTAATGCTCAGTGAGGAACACACACACACGCGTCCCTGCCTAATGCCCACCAGGGAGACTGCAGGAATGGTGGGATGGAGAAGGGAGGGCAGGCGCTCTGGTGCCAGCGCTGTCGACTCCTTCATTAGTAGAGACAGCAGAGCCACCGGCTGCCATGCATACCAAACTAGCACTTTTTTCCTTGCATGCATGTACTGTATGCGTGTGTGTGTGTGTGTTTGTGTGTGTGTGCATTTAACAGTCAGATTTGATGTTCATTGTTTGCTTTGTTGTGTAACTTATCTCCACTCTATAAACACAGTGCAATCTCAGCAGCCCTGTGTGCAGAGTTTAATACATTCTTCAATTTTAAATGGGGATATAATGATATTCATGTTATTGTGTTATGGTTCTGGATATTTCAGGATAATATTCTCAGTAGACCTCAATAAACCTTTAGAGAGCCCATAAACCTTGAGAGAGAGAGAAAGAGAGGAGTACAGTTAATGATTTTTGCTCTATCCTGTCTCCTACTGGTAGATGAGTGCAGTTGCGCACTGTTGTTTGTGTTCAATCTGTAGTAATACTGTAGAGAATGATCTATTTTGTGCAGGGAGGTCTAGTCTTATTTAATAGATGATAATTGCTTTAAATTACATGATGGGCACTGGGGATACATTAAAATGTGTCCTGTTTAGTTGCTTTCTTTTTTTTTGTAGCAAACGACTGGATAGAACAGCAAACGACTGTCATACATTTTTGCCATGAAAGATTTAATGTAACAATATTTTACATATGAACAACTACAGTAAAACAAGCAACACCACTTACTACTGACTTTATTACCTGCCTAATATTACGATAATAACTGTTTATTATAGCACTTATTAAGTATGACCACATCCTACCCAATACTAAATCCCAACTACTACATTACTATCTTTTATTAAGGAGCTAATTAATAGTTTATTGAGCTTAAAGTCTTACTGAATGGCTTGTTAATAGCATGAATTGTACGTTATAGTGGGATCACAACTACTCTCTGGCCTATTGACAGCAAGAATCATCAGAACACTTTTAGGTACCGTTCCCACTAATAACTAACCTACCTGTTAATAAGATATTTATTGGCTGTTTATTATAGTAGTTAGAAAGTCTGATCATTTTCTACATCTCTAATCCTACCCAATACCTAAACCCAACTACTACCTTAATAACTAGTAATAAGCAGCAAATTACTAGTTTATTGAACTAGTTAATGGTGTGCTAATAGTAATAATTATACTTCAAAGTAAAGTGTGATCAAATCGGTAACTAGCAATGAACTATACTTGTTCTGCATATATTAATCATCGTTCAAGATTGTTTAATGTATTATTAAACTCGCTAAGACTTTATTTTGATGCTTCCTATTGCACATTTTGATGACTAAAGGTACATAAATGCCAATGAATTTGAGTATTAGTTGACTGTCTGCTTATACTGCTTTTGCACAGGGAGCTCTTGTCTTATTTATTTATTTATTTATTTATTTGATACTTATTTATTTATTTATTTGTTTGTTTGTTTATTTAATTGTGTGCCTTAATAAGTTATAAGTTATTAGAGCACATTAGTTATTAGTGCATTAGTAATGTACAATTACAGCAAAAACAGATATCAAAAACTAAAGTTCCAAAGATAATTGAAATTCGAATAAAAAGAAAAAACTTAACAAAATAAACACAACAAAAGGAAGAGATTCACAAGACGGCAAATACTGATTCATAATAACTTACAACAGACAGAGCTTTTACATCTTTCACAGCTTTGAGAGACTTCATTAACAGAATAAGTTCTGGTCTAGTCTTATTTATTAGATGATAATAGCTCTAAATTATGTGATGGGTGCTGGGGATACAGAACGTGTCATGTCCTGTTTTTTTTTTTTTTTTTTTCCTTAGGCAAGGCAATGCAAGTTTATTTATATAGCACATTTCATACACAATATTAATCCAAAGTGCTTTACAAACCACAATAAAAGAAACATAAAACACCAGAATAAGAAATAAAAACTTAATTTTTTTTTTTTTAGCTAAAATGATTTTTTCTACCAAAACAGATGTCATTTAGTGTAATACTTGTTTGTAAACAATTACTGTCTGGCCTTTTTACAGCAAAAATTATCAGTAACACTTTAGTTCAAGTACCGTTCCTACTATTAAGTAACCTACCTATTTATAGGATATTTATGGTCAGTGTATAATTATAAAGTCTAATCTTTTTCTACAATCCTGATTCTACCAATACCTAAACCCAACTACCACCTTAATAACTATTAATAAGCAGCAAATTTGTAGTTTATTTAGTTAATAATCATAGGTAATGGTTTGCTAATTGGAAAAAGATTGTTTCTCTTAAGAGAGAATGGAATAGAATGGAATGGAATGGAATGGAATGGAATGGAATGGAATGGAATGGAATAGAATAGAATAGAATAGAAAAAAGGACAGAATTCTCATCAACAGGAGGATGAGTGATTGATATAATTTCTGTTTCTGTTTTTAAGTACTATTTCCACTATTAACCAACCTACCTAATAATAAGATATTTATTGTCTGTTTGTAGTTATAAAGTCTAAACTTTTCTACATTCCTACATTCTTCATTCCTGATCCAATACCTAAACCAAACCACTACCCTAATAACTATTAAAAATCAGCAAATTTGTAGCTTATTTAGCTAATAGTCATAATAAATGGTTTGCCAATAGAGAGAATTATACTTCAAAATAAAGTGTGACCGAATCAGTAACAATTTAAAATAATGGTCAGTTTACTAACATGACCTAGGACTGAACAATAGTTGTTCTGCATTTAATAATCACAGTTCAACATTTTCTAATGTGTTACTACACTCTAAAGTTAACAGTCTGTGTGAATAAAGTAGAACTAACAATAAACAACTTTATTTTCAGTAACTAACACTAATAAATATTGTAATAAATGAATTGTTCATGTTACAAAATACATGTAATACATGGACCATTACTTTAGGTTTCACCATTAAAGTAATACTTTCAATGCAAAAAGGAATTGGTCATTCAATTTATAATTCTCATGGTTGTGGAATTTAATAGTCTCTAAAATAAAATAAATCACTTGTGTAACTTGAATATCAACTTGTCTTCTAACGTTTTCATAAACTTTCTGCTTTTTGCACAGGGTTTCTTTAAGTCTCAAGCTGACCTCATAAACAAGTACGGACGAATTTGTGGGTAAGTCTCTTTTGATTGTACTCACAGTTATCAAACTGTCCATCAAATGCAGAAATATGAAAGAAAACAGATTGAATTGTATTTTGCTTTCTTTGTTAACAATAAAAACTGAAATTGCCGTCTAAAAGAAACCTTTTGTCGAAAGCATTAATAAACACAAATATGCGAAACCTATTTGTTTTGCCAAGTGAAACATGAATGACTTCTCATTACCCCCTGGGTAATAGAAAATGATTTTTTTCCCCCCCTGATTATATTCCTGATGAAAAGTGCCCGACGTGATTGCTTTAGTCATTTCCACATTTATAGAATTACTTTAACACCACAGCGTCTCTGCGTAACACCCATCACACATGAGGCTCTTGTTCACCATCCTGTCATTCATATTCAGACAGCATGAGCCTCTCAGTGAGCGCCCAGTGTCCTCTAATTTAGTCCGTCGCTTGCCAGACATTGTGTTTTAATATGCCTGCTTCTGAGAGGCCGACTTCTCCTTGGGGAGATCAAAGCAGCGAGTGCCACTGGCCTTCCTGTGTTTAATATGAGCCCAATGGAGAGGAAGGGAATCAGAATGACGCTAGTTGTCTGTGTGTTTCTTGGTATTCATCACGTTGTGGGGACTAAATGTCTCTGCAAGTATAGCAATAACAGCAATTTTAGGCCTTGTGGGGACATGTTTGTAATCCCCATGAGAAAAACAACATAGGCTCATAATGAAAATTTAGCTCTACGGTATATAAATTTCAGGAGATCGCGATTTATGTAGCCAAAGGTACGTATGAATGCATTTTGTCTTTAGAACGAACGCTGCGGGGCCGTATGACATCCTTTTCACGCTAGCAGTTGACTGCTTACTTCCTTATGGACGGCTTTCCCCACTGTTACCAGTTTGTCTAGTGGCTCACCTTGTATGTCAGCGGACTTGAGATGGAAAGAGAAGTTGACCATGTTGACAGGGTTTGAGTCCGGCAAAGAACTGTTCCAGAAAGCGGGTAAGACGTAAATCATTAAACATTAAATAAACAAGTAAATAACAGGGTGAGAATGTGGTAAAATCTGAAACTGTGGTAAAAATCTGGCGATGGCTTTTGAAAACTGTCAGTTGGGTTTATGGAAGTGGGTGGGCTGGTCAATCTGTGCTTTTGAAAACACTATTGGTTGGGTTTAGGGTAGTGGGTGTAACGGATTACAAATCTTACAGTTCAGATAACACCGCGGTTTTTGAGTCACGGATGGGACCATTTTTCGGGTCAGCAAAAAAGGAAGGAAACAAATGTCATTTGCTTTCCTTTTCCACAAAAATTTTACTGCAAAAACAATTGCATCTAACAAACAATGTAGAACCTGTAATTTTAATAAAAATCAAGAAAGAATAAGCTGAAAAAAAAGGAAATATTGAAAACAAAAAATGATCCTTGCTACGTTTGCTGATAATGCTAAATATGGAAATCTAACATCTTGTACGACAGATCATATTTATCATCAATGAATATATCAATGAATAGGATTTTTAGAGGATGAGTGAATGAATAAACCATCCCTTTAAAAATTATTATTATGGTGTAGAATAGAATAGATTTGAATTTTTCATCAAGATGATGAGTGATTGATATGATTTATGTTTAAGTGAACTACTTTTAATTGTTATCTTAAGAGACAATAGAATAGAATAGAATATTTCGTCAACAGGACGATGAGTGATTGATACAGTGTGATTTGTGTTTAGGTGAGCTGCTTTTAAATGTTATCTTAAGAGACAATAGAATAGAATAGAATAGAATAGAATAGAATAGAATAGAATAGAATAGAATATTTAATCAACAAGAGGATAAGTGATTGATATAATTTATGTTTAGGTGAACTGCTTTTAAATGTTATCTTAAGAGACAATGGAATAGAATAGAATAGAATAGAATAGAATATTTCGTCAACAGGACGATGAGGGATTGATATGATTTATGTTTAGGTGAGCTGCTTTTAAATGTTATCTTAAGAGACAATAGAATAGAATAGAATAAAATAGAATAGAATAGAATAGAATAGAATAGAATAGAATAGAATTTTTCATCAACAAGACGATGAGTGATTGATATGATTAACGTTTAGGTGAGCTGCTTTTAAATGTTATCTTAAGAGACAGTAGAATAGAATAGAATAGAATAGAATAGAATAGAATAGAATAGAATATTTAATCAACAAGAGGATAAGTGATTGATATAATTTATGTTTAGGTGAACTGCTTTTAAATGTTATCTTAAGAGACAATGGAATAGAATAGAATAGAATAGAATAGAATAGAATAGAATAGAATAGAATAGAATAGAATAGAATAATGGAACAAACTATGGAACAACAAACGTGAGCATGAATATATGATGGCAGTATACATTTTGGTGAATTATCTGTTCTTGTTTTTAATACTTGAAATGCTCTCTTCCAGGAAAATTGAATAAAATACAGCAGAATCTCATAACAAGGCAAGCGTGAGTATAGAATAGGATTGAGTAGATAAGTACAAAATAGAATACAGTAAAAATTTAGAACAACTGGTGGTGTGTTTTGTTGTGTTTAATAGGCCTGATTCTCCTTGGGGGATCAAAGCAGCGAGTGCCATTGGCCTTCCTGTGGTTAATATGAGCCTAATAGAGGGGAAGAGTGTGTGTGTGTGCGCCTGTGTGTTTATGGGATATAGGGGTGTTGGGACCGGAAAAGAGGATCTAATTCAGAGTCATGTGGATATATGTCAGGAGACATTACGACATCCTTCAGTTAGAGTAATTCAAGAGCTGAGCTTCTCTCCAAAATCAAAGGGCTTTGAAATACATATCAGTGCTCTGCATGATCCTTAAAACCCTTGTCGGTTTCCCAAGTACAAGACATCAGTCATCAGAGTTCAGACATTTCTGTGCATTGCAGGAGCACTCTTAAGGCGCGTGGAGGCTTTGCTCACGAAGGTGATTTATTTTTTTGCTCTGCCCAAAAATATCCTTGTGATATGGTGTGAGAACATCTCGAAATGACATCTAACCAGACTCTTTAATGCTATAGTGTAAGAAACTTGATATAGGGGTCAGCTGATATTTAAAAGTGTGACTAATAAAGTAAAATCCAGCTATTTTCAGTGTTGGGGGTAACGCATTACATGTAACGTGAGTTAAGTCTTTATTTAAGTAACGAGTAAAGTAACGCATTACTTTAAAAAAAAGTAATAATATTTAAGTTACTTTTGGGAAAATGTAAATGGGAATTACTTTTTAGTTTAATAAATTGCTGCATTGATATTAAAGTAGTCACAATGAATCACACAGTCAATGAGAGAATCAAAATTTTGAACGCATCGAAGAAAAGAAAAAGGGGATTACAGTCTCAATGGACAGTGATTTTTCCTTAAGATAAATAGTAAAAAGAAGCAAACACATTGCTTTAAACTATATTACTGTATTAAATGTATTTAATACATTAATATGTATTAAATGTATGCATTAAATTATCTGTATAAATGGCATGTATAGCTCTGGGGTCAGGAAGTTCTCAGATAACACGATCCTACAGTTGAAATCAGAACTATTAGCCCCCCTTTAATTTTTTTTCCCTTTTAAATATTTCCCAAATGATGTTTAACAGAGCAAGGAAATTTTCACAGTATGTCAGATAATATTTTTTCTTCTAGAGAAAGTCTTATTTGGTTTATTTCGGCTAGAATAAAAGCAGTTTTTAACTTTTTATGAACAATTTTAACATTATTAGCCAATACAATAACTTGCCTAATTCCTCTACCCTGCCTAGTTAACCTAATCAACCTAGTAAAGCCTTTAAATGTCACTTTAAGCTGTATAGAAGTGTCTTTAAATATATCCACTCAAATATTATTTACTGTCATTATGGTAAAGATAAAATAAATCAGTTATTAATAATGAAATATTAAAACTATTAGGTTTCTCTCTGTTAAACAGAAATTGGGGAAAAAATAAACAGGAGGGGCTAATAAATCAGGGGGGTTAATAATTTTGACTTACACTGTAAAATATTTTTTGATATGCTTTTTAAAGGTAAATGTAGCTGTAGGATAGACAGTGCTTTGTTAATTGCAGAACTCTTCTATTAAAAAAAGAAAAAAGCCTCACCCAGCTAATAAAAAGAAATGCAAAAGTAACATAAAAAATGCAACTAGTTATTTTTTGGGGGGGAGGGGAGTAACTCAATATTGTAAAGCAGTACTTTCAAAATTAACTTTCCCCAACCTGTCATTTTTATTGTGAATTAAGCATCTAAAATTTTTGGGGAAACTGATCAGTGATTTTACAAGCATTGCAAATAAAAAGAAATATTTCAGTGGCGCAGTAGTGCTGTCCCCTCACAGCAAGAAGGCCGCTGGTTCGAGCCTCAGCTGGGTCAGTTGGCGTTTCTGTGTGGAGTTGAATGTTTTCCCTGCGTTTGCGTGGGTTTCTCCCGGGTGCTTCGGTTTCCCCCACAGTCCAAATATATGCAGTACAGGTGAATTGGGTAAGCTAAATTGTCCATAGTGTATGTGTGTGAATGAGTGTGTATGGGTTTCCCAGTGATGGTTGTGGCTAGAACAGGACTTGCTGCGTAAAACAAAGGATAAGTTGGCGGTTAATTCCGCTGTGGAGACCCCAGATTAATAACGGGACCAAGCCAAAAAGAAAATGAATGAATGAATGAATGAATGAAAAAAGTCATCTGCAGTTGATGAAAACAGTAAAAGTCTGTTTTTGTCACATAAGTTAAAAAAAACTTATCCAGCAAGTCAAAGAAAACTTGTTTATGGTTAATCTTGTTAAATTGATTGGAGTTGTCATAATGATGAGCTACAATGCCATTATATTTTGAATTTTCTCAGAGTTTTCATTATGTTGAGAGAATTACTTATAATATAAATATATAAAATTAATGTCTTATTTAAATGAGAATATATGTTCCATATTGGGGGCAACACGGTGGCTCAGTGGTTAGCATTGTCACCTCGCAGCAGCAGGTCA